GAGCCAGCACAAATGGAGGGGTGGAGAAGCTATTTTGGATATGGATTAAAAGGACAGTCCACGTCAGCAACCACAGCAATACCAGCTGGGTATGTGGACTGTGCCATGGTTTCCTTGACAGCTGAGAGGAAGGAACAAACAGCAAAGAGTAATAGCAGGTACTGTTTTTTCCATCCCTTCCCAGCCCTGGAGCTCCCTGTGGGAAGCAGCACAGAGGAGGCACAGCTCGGTGAGCAGCACTACCCTGCCATGCTCCCCTGCTCTGGCAGGACACGCTGCAGGACTGCAAAGCTTCCTGTAAGACATCCATCATTCCAGCCGTGTTACCCACCAGCAAGGAAAACACAGGACCCCGTGACACTGATGTGGCAGGAACAGGGAACAAAGCCCAGTATCTGGACTTTGTAAGCAACAGCCTCACACCCTGCTCTGCTACAGAAAACAGCATCTTTTCCCGATTGTATCATGGAAAAGGACAATAAATATTCAATGTCCTGCTCCTCCAAAGGGTAGAATCCAGTGGGTCTGCACTCTGAATATGCTTTGAGGGAATGTTTTCATGCCCTGTGGGTATGATGGGGGGTGGGAAGGCTTCCACCTCCCCCGCTCTGGATGGGAGGAACTGAATTAGGACACAGACTGCCTGGCAACGCCTTCCTCCTGAGGAGGAGAAGGGGGGACAGCTCCACAAGGATTTCTGGGCACGTTGTCTAGAGCCTTTCACTTCCTCAGAGCCCCCAGCTGTTGGGTTATTTGCTGATCGTGGAGGCCTCTCTGGCTGCTCCACTGATCTCCCCCAGGGTCTTCTCTCCCTCTCTGCTTGGCCCAGTTGTCTCCTTATGCCTCTCCCCTGAGCATCCCGGGCTGCTAATGCCCCCCTGCCCTCTAATCTCCCTTTCACTCCCGTGCTGGCGCTCAGGCCACTAAGGAGATTATCCTGGTCACAGCTGCTCGTCCTCCCCGGCAACAGGGGTGTCACCCCGGGGGAGCCACGTGCGGGGGTGACACATGTGCCACCACCACCCCAGTGGCAGCGCAGCTCTGGTGCCCCCTCCTGTCCGGCCCCAACCCCAAAGGAGGTGCCGAGTAGGATGGGATGTGCTGGGATCAGGCATTAGTAGGATATTTGCCTCTCTCAAGCAGGGAATCTGGGAGACCTGCACCCATCCGGCCCCTCTTTTTCGTGTGGGAGTCTCCCAAGCTTGAAAACGGGAGAACCGGGACACCCAGGCAGGATATGGAGCATCGCCCTTGGAGCACCGGGGCTCAGCCTTGTGCTCCAACAGCACAGAGGCAGATTCTATGAGGCAATTAAAACTCCAATCCCAAATAAAACAGCACCTTCCCGCTGCCCCTACCAAGCCGGGCGGAGTTTGGGAGCTCCTGGCAGCAATCGCTCCCCTCTCTGCGGATCCTCCCCGGCACCGAGGGAGTTAACGCCGAGCGCCCGGGCTCTCGCAGATCTCCGTTTCCGTGACAACAGCTCCCGATGAATCCCAGAGCTCTAAAATCCCATTAAACATCTGCGAGAGGCTGCCCGTGCTGCCTGCCCAGGCTGCCACCTGCCGGCACCCCCCAGCCCGGCCCCCACGGCACCCCAAAAACACGGCTGGGGGGAGCAGGGACAGCCCCAGCACGATGGGGTGGGGCACGAAACCCGGCAACCAGACCCGGCTGTTGGGCTAGCGAAGGGAGGCTGCAAGGATTGAGGGTGTAGGGGTACACACACCCCAGTCCCCAGAGCCTTGGGGGGCTCCTGGGAGGGACACAACCCCCATCACCCTGGGCTTGGCTGGCAGGGATGCTCCTCTTGGAGCAAACCAGTCCAAAGTCACTCACAGTGGGGGTCTTAAAGATTTGGGGGCAGGTTTGAGTGACAGCAGTGAGCCACTGGAATCTAGTAGGGCTTTTGAGGGTTTTACACTGACCCCTCTGCTTGTGGAGAGTCTGGGGGGCTGTGAAGGGTCTCTGAGGATGAGACAGGCCAGTGGCCCAAAGGGGACTTTAGGCTGAACTCATCCCAAGCCAGAGAAGGTGCCTGGAAGGCTGAGGAAGGATGCTGTGACCTGGATAATTAGGGTTCCTGCCTCACCTCTGTGCTTCACTCACTCCTCTCCAGCTTCAGTGGTTGATTTAAAAATCAAGGATTTTTAAACAGCCTTTATATTTGATTTGAGAAATTTGGGCTTTTCCCTCTCCTTGCTTCCACCACTGCCTGCAATAAGAAAAAGGCATCAGGAGAAGGAGAGGAGGAAGCTGGGGAGGTGCTACATTTAAGGTGATCACAGAATCATTAAGGTTTGAAAAGATTTTTAAGCTCATCAACCCAGCACCACCCTGTTCACCATTAGAACATGTTCTCAGGTGCCACATCCACACTCTCTGAACACTCCCAGGGATGGTGACTCCACCACTTCCCTGGGCTGCCTGTTCTAATTCCAAGGGGGAAGAAGTCTAGGAGAGAACAGGCACCATCCTTGAGGGAAGCTCAGACAACAGCACAGTGACAACCCATTCCTGTGTGACTGGTCCTGGGGCTCAGCGACCTTAGAGAGAGAACCTGTGTCCAAGTTTATTATAATACAGCTTATTACACAGTATATAATATCTATAAAAGTCACACATACACAATATATAAACCTTATTATACAATGAGGCTCCTGCAGCTGAACCTGACTGTGGGACTGCTCAGATGCATCCCAAATTGCTCCCCTGCACTCCTGGGTTCAGAAGTGCAGCTTTTCAGCTTTTCCTTCCATTCACAAGCGCTGCCAAGTCATTTGGATCCTGGGAAAAAGCCTCTCCTCCGCTTGGGGAAGGATAGGACAGGAAACAAGCAGGGAGGAAGCAGTGCCTTCTTCACCTCCCCTCCCCATCTAACTCCATCCCTGGGTATGGGAGGGAAAAGTCACAGGGACCTGCAGCAGCAGGAGCCCTGGAAAAACTCTGGCATCTGCAGGATCCAGGGGAATCCAAAAGGGGCCACGGATGAAAGCTGACACAGAAAGAAAATGCTCTTTTTGAGCTACAAATGCTGGCACAGCTGCTGGCCAGACCCCCTTCCAAATCCTGAAACATGCCAGCAAGGGGATGGGAATCATTAACTGGCTCCTTTGTGTGATTTAACCATTTCCACCTCCTCTTGCCCCCTGAAAAAGCTCAGATTCATTAGGGTTTCCAGCCCCCCGATGCTGCAGTGCCTGGGGCTCCCCCCCAGCAGCAGGAAGGGGCTGAGAGAACCCCTAATGGAGAAGACAGGGCTCCCTCTCCCCTCCTCCAAAGCTTTTAAAGGCCAAAGCCATTGGCACAGGGCTTTTCTGCACGGGTAAACGCCCAGGAAAGATGTTAAACAGCACCCAGGGGAAATGAAGAGTGGTTTGATGCTCCTTTCAAAGCACAGAGCCTTGGAAAGCCCCTGGCTTCAGAAGGGAATGGAAAAAAAAAGAAGCCTATGTCTTGCATCTAAAGCAGTTGGCTGAGAGCTACAGGGTGATGTAGGATGGATGCTGAGCAGGGTGGGGACCTCTGTCCAGGGGAGCTGGGACACAGCCCTGCCAGACACTGGGCAGGCATTAATTTTGCTGTGGAGAGCCAAGCCCTTGGGGTTCCTGGGCTCAGGGACAGCAACGTGGGGGTCTGCAGCCTTATCTGTGCGTGCTCTGGAGCAGGACCCCCTTGTCAGAGGCAGCAAAGCAGCGGGAGGGAGGGAGGGAGGGAGGAATGTGAGAGCTTGCAAAGCATCTCACTGCGGGAGTTGGAGCTGCCAGGAGGAGGGGATGCGTTTCAGGAAACCAAGAGAGGCAGGAAATCAAGGGAGAGGGACAGTAATTGAGTCCATATGTTGGAAGCAAAGAATGCATCTGGTAGCAGGGAGCAGGCAAAGGGAGAAGGCCCATGCTGTGGGGACAGCACAGGACATGCAGAGTCACATTAACCTCCTGGACCAAGCAGAAGGTTGAATTCAGACCAACCACAACTGCTGGGAGGGGTCACTGGTCTCTTGTTGCAGGTCTGTGCCTGTAGTAGCTACAGGCTCAGGGGGCTTCCAAACTTTAACTCATTAATATCTTTAATTTAATGGGTAACGTTGCAAAAAGGTGAAGGAAATCGCTGTTGTATCACAAAGTGACAGGGTTTGTTCTACATCCATGTCCCTGAGCATGTCTGGAGCTGGGATGTAAAGTGGACAACATGAAAACATGGGCAAGAGGGATATCAGGTCCTTCTGCTCCCCAAAAGCAGCACAGCTTTGGTGCAGGAGTACCTGCTGATGCAGGATTGACTCAGAGGTAAGGGCACAGTCAGGGGGATGAATGAGGAACCTGGGGCTGCACAGTCATCACAAGGCTGTCCCACAGAGCCAGTCCCACAGAGGCCATTCCCCTTATTTAGGTATTCCCAGGTTCGGGCTCCAGAGCTGGGAAAGCTCATAAAAATATTTATGGCCTCCCCCCCTCCTCCCTTTTCAAACACATTTGCAAAGAAATCCGAAACGTATGTGGTTGGAACAGAGGAGTCTGGAACAGCACCATGGCTTGGGAAGGGGGAGAAGAGCTCTGGTGCCAACAACCCACTGAGCCTCCCAAGAAATCAGGGGAGGGGATGGAGCACAGGAATACAGGGCTGAATGGGTGCACAGGCTTTGGTGTGTCATGCAAATTGCTGCATTTTATACAGCCAAAAAGCCTCTCAGGAAGACCCTCAGGTTTAAGAAGGTTCTCTGTACCCAAGCAGGCTTTGCACATCGCTGAAGGTGGCTTTACTGTGAGGTGTCCCTCAGCCACATGTAAAACTCCTCAGGCAAACCTGCAATTTGCTGCTCTCAGGACTCGTGTTCTCAGTAAATTGCAACACCACTTGTGCTCTCCCAAGTTTCCACCCCTGGGAATCCAGCTCCAGAGCATTTTTCTTTCATCTGTAGCTCTCTACACATGCTACTTGTAGGGCTTTGCATTCAGACCAAAACTTCTGCTGTCCCAAACACCCATTTCATCCCATACCTGCGTTTGTGCCTGTTCCCTGCTGCTCTCACTCCTGGGGCTTCTCCTCTGCCTCCTCCCTCACCAGCTTCCCACAGCAGATCATCTTTCATGCTGCTCCTGATTCTCCATGGCAGCTTCTGCAGCACAGGAGACACAGCTGCTGTGGGGCTGCAGGAGGGGTGGGAGGGGGGAAAAACCACACAAAAGTGGTTAAAATCCTTCCTGGGAAGGGGGAGCGTGAGGAGCAGGGCAGAGCTGAGCAATGGGGCTCTGGTGTAGTTGAAGACGTCCCTGTTCATTGCAGGGGGGTTGGAATTAGGTATTAGGAGGCAATTCCTCCCTGTGAGGGTGGGGACGCCCTGGCACGAGTTGACCAGAGAAGCTGTGGCTGCCCCACGCCTGGAAGAGTTTAAGGCCAGGTTGGACAGGGCTTGGAGCAACCTGGGATGGTGGAAGGTGTCCCTGCCCATGGCAGGGGGTGGGACTGGATGATTTTTAAAGTCCCTTTCAACCCAAACCATTCTGTGATTTTCTATGATCTGGGCAATAAAGTTTTTCAGAGTTGAGAGGAAAAATCATTTTACTCACCAGAAACCTCTTTCTCAAGTTGTTAAACTCTGTGTAGTTGCTACCAAGTCACCTTCTGGGGAGCAAACAGGAAGCCCTGGCCCAGGACTGTGCAAAGATGCTCTGGTTTGAGTACATCCTTCGCAGCTTCTCACACTGTATCTTGGCATTCTTAAAGCTGTAAAATCCAGAAGTCAAGGACCATAACCCAAACATGAAGTGGAAAACACCGGAGGAACGTCAGACTGCAACATTGTACCCCATCCATGGTTCCTCCCCACTCAGAGGTTTCAGCAGACCATGATGCTGAGATGGACCCAGCCCAACCTGCTCAGTGCCTGGGGGACACTTACACCTCCAGTGTCAAGGGTGGACAAGGGGAAACAGCCTCAAACTGTGCCAGGGAAGAGTCAGGTTGGACATCAGGAGGAATTTCTCCCTGGAAAGGGTGGTCAGGCACTGGCAGGGGCTGCCCAGGGAGGTTTGGAGTCCCCACCCCTGGAGGTGTCCAAGGAAGGCCTGGCCGTGGCACTGAGTGCTCTGGGCTGAGGGACAAGACGGGGATTGGGCACAGGGTGGATTCCATGGGCTGGGAGGGCTTTTCCAGCCTCAGTGATTCCGTGATTCCAAGATTCCGTGGTACAGCCCTGACTGCTCAAAGTCCACCAGAACACTGCAACACCCAGACACTCAGAGCAGCCCTTGGCAATCCCACAGCACTGCCAGCAAACCAGCAGGCTCCAGGCAGTCCAGAAACTCCAGGAATGCAGTCAGGCAACTCATTTTTAGATGACAACTAAACAGAGCAGTGATCCCTTTGCACAAAGATGTCAAAGAGGCTCAGAATGACAGAATTCCCTGTGGATGGCAAACAGCATCTCTGCAGCACTTTGAGATCCCCCCCAGCTGTAGAGGAAGATTCCATGGTCTATACCACACGAGAAATGTCTTTTCCCACATAACAGACCCTTCTACTCTCTCTCCAAACTTTACTGAGACCCAGGGATCCCTTCTGCCACAGCTCACATCCACTTTGAAATATTTTTCTTCCTAAAAGCAGAAGGATATTGTCAATTTTCCCCCACAGATTTGTCACTCTTATCTTATCTGTGTCAGCTGGGAAGTTCAGAATATTCCACTGCACATTAAAAATCTGTCCTTTTGTCCTGTTTAAGCTTGTCCTCAAGTTCTCAGCAGACACTGAAAAAAAAAAAAGACATAAAAATAGAGAAGGACATTCCTAAAATATTTGCTTTAAGCAGAAGCAGTTTCTATCCTGCAACTGTCTCCAGTTGTACCCACTGAAAATCCCTTTGACCTCACTGCTGGGAGCGTGGCTCATCCCCCCTGCACAGATCCAGGCAAATAACCCCCCAAAAACATAATTAACTTGCTTCAGGCAGTATCTCAGTGCTCCCTCAGCAGCAGATCTGCCAGGAAATATGGTCCTTCCTGCCCCTGGATGGTTTGTGTGTGAGCTCAGAGCCAGGGCAAAGCTCATCACACAGATGTTCATGTGCATTTTCCAGGCAGATCTGAGAGCTCTGCAGCATAAATACACATGAAAGCTGAAAAAAGCTCTGCCCCCTCTTTTTTTTTTACATTATTTTGGTATGGGACACACACCCCAGGGAAGGTCTGCAAGCTTTAACAGTCTCCAAAGTGAGGGGAAAAAAAGTGGGTTTCTTTGGATTTATTTTTTCCAGCTCTTTCAGGACTGGCAGCTTGAATAGTGGAAAGACCCCGGAAAGTGACTGCCCAGCTCCAGTGCAGCTGGAGGGCACTGGGTTACACTGGGGGGTTACTGTGTGTTAGAAGAGGGTTGAATATCAATATTAGACCAGTTAAGACATAGATGGATAATATAAATTTAACAATAACAACAAATATAAATATAAATATAAATATAAATATAAATATAAATATAAATATAAATATAAATATTAGACTGGAGCAGAGCTTTAGGGGGGCACAGTCAGTTGTTCAGCAAGTTTTCATGCTCTAAGGGACGGATGCATCTGCACTCCATATCCTGCCTCCTGCTTTCCTTCCTCCCTGAACACTGACTCAGCACCTCCAGCCTTTTACCACAGGTCAAAACAATAGGTATCCTTCCTCCCAGCCATCACATCCGCCTGTTTCATCAATAATTCTTTCCCTCTGCAGTTCAGCACAGCCACAGCTTTAAAAGGAAAAGGCTTCCACTGCAACCACACAAATAAAGCATCTTTAGGAAGCAGCCTCAGGCTTTGCAGACACAGCAATGAGCCAAAATTCTCTTTGCTCAGAGCTGCTGAGATCCAAAAAACCCCCTGTTCCTGAGCCACAGCAAACACCTCTCCATCTCTGGGATCACTTCTGATCCCAGGACTGTGTGTCTTGGAGCTGGACATGAGAAAATCTGCTCAGGAAAAATTCTGGTCAGGAAAACAGGGCACACAAGAAGTATTGAAAGCCTTGCCAGCAGGTATTTCCAGGTGCTGGAAATCCTCTGGATGTACTTCCTTGCCACTCATGTGCTGGGAAAAAAAACTGGAGGGCACCAACCACTTCCCTGAGCTGCCCAGAGACAAGGACTCACCTTGCAGAGAGATGAATTCTCTAGTTCTGTGCATCTCTGCTCCAGACTCTCCAGGCTAGAGCCATTCCCCTGAGGACACCCACATGTTAGGACCTGCTTTGAGCCAAGGAGATGGAGCCCACACACAGGATCATACTCAGGCCACTCTACCAAGCAACAAAATGAGGATTATTTTTATTGACAGAGGCAGCAGGTGTTTGGATGCAGCACTGCATCCAGTTCTGGGGCCCACAGCATCAGAAGGATGTGGAGCTGTTGGAGAGAGTCCAGAGGAGGCCATGGAGGTCCTCCAAGTGCTGGAGCCCCTCTGCTCTGGAGCCAGGCTGGGAGAGCTGGGGGGTTTCACCTGGAGAAGAGAAGGCTCCAGGGAGAGCTGAGAGCCCCTTCCAGGGCCTAAAGGGGCTCCAGGAGAGCTGGAGAGGGATTTTAGACAAGGGTCTGGAGTGACAGGACAGGGGGGAGTGGCTTCCCACTGCCAGAGGTCAGGGTTAGATGGGATATTGGGGAGAAATTCCTCCCTGTGAGGGTGGGGAGGCCCTGGCCCAGGCTGGGCAGAGAAGCTGTGGCTGTCCCTGGATCCCTGGAAGTGTCCAAGGCCAGGTTGGACAGGGCTTGGAGCAACCTGGGCTAGTGGAAGGTGTCCCTGCCCATGGCAAGGGTTGGACTAGAGACCTTTAAAGTTCTCTTCCAACCCAAACCCTTCTGTGAGCCTCCAGTAGGTGCAGGGGGGGTGCAGGCACTGGGGACTGACAGGCAGAGACCTTCCCTCTGCCCTCGTCAGCTCTCACTTGTAGGATCAGAGGCTGAAAGCATTAAACGATGCCCGAAGACCCCCAGGCTTCAGAGCTATCAAAGACTTGTCTCCTGCTGACCTGAGGCAGAGTCCAACAGGGTGACCAGCACAGAAATCAGCAGGAGGATGAGGCAGAGAGATGTGTCTGAGCAGAGATCAAGAGATGCTTCCTGAGACGAGCATCGCTGAGCACGGCTGTGCCACAGGGTCCTGCAGCAGCACAGGCACGGCTGGAGCAGCTCATTGGGCAAAATGTTCTGCTTTTTGGGCTCCCACATGGCAGAAAACAGGCAGTTACTGAGAAACAACTGCTCTCATGCTGCCTCCTAACTTGTTATAGCAACCAGAACTATTTTCTGAACAGGTTCTGCCTTCAGAGCAGTTTTGCCTTCAGACCCCATCCTTGGGCCAGCTCACAGGAAGAAGAATCACAGAATGGTTTGGATTGGAAGGGATCTTAAGGATCAATCCCATGGGCAGGGACACCTTCCACTGTCCCAGATTGCTCCAAGCCCTGTCCAACCTGGCCTTGGACACTTCCAGGGAATGGGGTAGCCACAGCTTCTCTGGGCAACCTTTGCCAGGGCCTCCCCACCCTCACAGGGAACAATTCCTTCCCAATATCCCATCTAACCCTGCCCTCTTTAGAAGACCTCAGACCCAGTGTACATTTTCAGGGCCAGGAATGGGCTTATGAGGTTATCCAGGAGTTGAGGAGGAGAAAGGAGAATCTCAGGTTACACACACCTGGGCACAGGAGATGCTTCCAGAAGGATCATCAGCAAGGGCTGAATGTATCAGCAAGGGCAGAGTCAGCATCCCTTCCAGAGAGAGTCCTCTAAGCCCTGAGTGCATCTGAAGTGCAAAAATAGTGCTCTGATCAATAAAAGGAAAAAAATTACAGGAACAGGCATTTCTGAGCTATTCCATCCTTCCTGGATTTTCAAACTTCGTGAAGGTTCCAGCGTTAGGAACAACATCAGATTTATTTTCCACTCCCCTGTTTCTCATTTGAGGTCGTGGCTTTAGGGAGCTCATCCTCCTTGCTTCACAATTCAGTCAAGAGATGCTGCTCTCCCAATTCCTACCTCACTCCCTTCCTCCCCATTATCCCCCAGCAAGGCTAAACAGGACTGGGAAAACTTAACAGTTCTGCTACAGGAGGCCTTTTAGATTTGAGAATTTAGATCTGATTTCTGGAACTGAAGAAAGGGGAAAAAAAAATCGGGATGAGATTTTCCTACTGACATTGCACAGCCAAAATTTTATTAACTTGGAATTAAACGTGTCCGGAGAAAATGACTTTTTCCACTGGAGTTTCACCAGATGCATTTCAAACATCAGATTTCTCCTGTATGGACAACCCAGAATTCCCTGCCTTAAAAAAACCAGGACAACTGAGACCTGCTCAGGGTATTTTGGGAAGACAAATGGGGAGCTCTTAACTCTTCTTTTCTTTTTTTCCCTGCCTTTAAAAAAAGCAGGATGGGGGTGTGAAGCCAAGCAACCACATTTATGAATGGGAACAAGGACAAGGAGCACAGATTTTCTAGAACATACATATAACCCCCCCATTTTTTGGATCTTAAAGATCCATCAAATCCAAACTTCCCTTATGTAGATTCTCCCTAAATCAAAATGAGATGACAAAGCTGCCTCCCATACAGGAATAGGGTCAGTTTACCCAAAAACTTAGGGAATAAAGCCGGAATTTAGCAGGCCTAGGGGAATAACTGCTGTCCAAGGAGGTAAAAGACACTGGTAGCATGTTTGATTTTTTTTCTAGAAATTAGACACAGAATTTAAATTCATCACTGGCTGGTCATAAGGATGCTAAAAACCATTCCCAGGAAGCAGGATAAGGAAGAAAAGGAGACTATGGAAAAGAAGTCCCTACTGTCAGACAGGGTGTGTAGCAGACAGAGCAGGGAGGTTTTCCAGCGTCCTTTTCCTTGTGAGAGCTGACAAATCCAGACCTAAGACTAACCCTGAACCCACACAGTGGCCTAACCTGCAGATCCCTAAGTCCTCTTCCTAATCTCCCCAAATGGGCCCAGCACTGTTGTGCTGTATGGTAATTAGAAGCAATTACAACAGAAGAGTTAATTACAACTGCTGGGAATACTGATCTCCCTTTTCCTGCCCTTTCTTCCTGCTGTGACCTCGCTCCAGGACCCTCCTGGGACAACAAAAGGGGACAAGGGTCGTTAAAACATCCACTAAACATCAGCCGGGGGTGGGCAGAGCTGAGCTTAATGGGCAATTAGCATCTGCCCCTGATCAAAGATGCCTCCAGTCAACACTCCCAGCCCCCAGGATTGACAATGGGAAGGTTCAAGGAGTAGGAAAAGTGCCTGAGGGAGTCCCTGCTGCACTGGAGAAAGTGTTTGTTGGGGGAGACTCCTGCTGTGGTCCCATCCCAGGTGGCCACGGGGGAGTTTTCCCTTTCCCTTTTCTCTCTTTTCTCCTGTTAATTCCCCCTCCCCACACCCCAAAAAGGAACTTTTACTGCTGTAGTTGATGTTTAGCTCTAGCACCAGATTCTGAGGGTAAATCTGGTGTGTGTGAGCCTGTCTGGTCATCTTTTGTGCAACACCAGACAGGGAAAACTCTGCAGGGAGCATGGAGGTGGAATCACACAAGGAACAAAGCAGTGATAAATGCAAGTTTTTCCTAGGGGAAGATGCTGATCTCTGCTTAGAGGAAAAGTCACTCAAAATCCCAGAGTGGCTTGGGCTGGAAGGGACCTTAAAGGCTGTCCAACCTGGCCTTGGACACTTCCAGGGATGGGGCAGCCACAGCTTCTCTGGGCAACCTGTGCCAGGGCCTCCCCATCCTCCCAGGGAGGAATTTCTTCCCAATATCCCATCTAACCCTGGCCTCTGGCAGTGGGAAGCCATTCCCCCTTGTCCTGTCACTCCAGACCCTTGTTCCCAGTCCCTCTCCAGCTCTCCTGGAGCCCCTTTAGGCCCTGGAAGGGGCTCTCAGGTCCCCCTGGAGCCTTTTCTTCTCCAGGCAGAACAATCCGAATTCTCTTAGCCTTCCCTCGAAGGAGAAGTGCTCCATCCACAGAAGTCTTTAGCAAGGTAACCTCATTAAAGATATCTACTGCCTTAAATGAATGCAGAGATGATCTCCACAATATCCACCCACACATCTAAGCTCAGTGCAAGTCACTGAACTCCAAAGGATTTATGAGTGGCACAGGGGGAAGTGTTTCTGGAGACATGTTTGCAGGTTTGGGGCTGGAAGGATGACAGGAGATGCCCAACAACATCACAATCCCTACACTTTCCCACCCCTTGTTAATGCCATCTCCTCTGTGTTGCAGTGGAATCAGGCTGCCACAGACATCCCTTCTCCAGGAGCATGAACAGTCCCACCAGCATTCCTGGGACTCACTCATGGAAAAGCTCTGCACCCTTCCTGCGACTCCATCAGCTCCACACCACGGGAGGGGTGACTGGGGCATCCCACTGCTCAGTGCCCAGAAACTCACTGCTTCTCCAGGGGCTGGGATAAGCAGGGGGGGTGTCTGTGCCCATCCCAGGGTGACCACAAAAGCCAAGACCTGTCCCCTGACCACGGGAAGGGGACGAAGCAGCTCAGAACCCCAACTGTGCCGGGTAGTCCCACTTCAACACGGGGTTGCTGCACCCCCAGCACTGTCCCCCAGCCCTGTCCCCCAGCCCATCAGCATTCCCTGGAGCAGGAAGCTGCCCAGTAACAAGGCAGGGGAGGATGAGCATCCCTCCCTCAGAGCTGACCTATGGCTGTACTGCTTCTCCGTGGTGCCTCTGCCGCAGCCGGGCTGGTGCCTGGGGCCAGCAGGGAGTCACTGACCTATTTTCGTATATGCAGGCATGCACAGGATCACAGACAAAGGCAGCTTTAGCTTAGGAGATTTAAAGGAAAAGATACTCATCTGAACTACCCCCAGGAACCACAGTGGCTCCTGTGACGTTTGTTTTCTTCCCGAGCAGCATCTTGGCGTGTGGTTCTGGGAAAGGCAAAAACCAGCGTGGAGCAAAACAAATCAAAGAGCTCCACTGAGCTGCAAAATCACAGTTTTTAGGAAAGCAACAAAAGGGATGTGAGAATTTGGGAGTAAACTGGGCTTAGGACTTGATAAACACAAGGGCAACCAGGACTCACTACGTGGAGGGAATAGAACTGAGTAAGAAGGAGCAGTCCCACAGGATATCCCCCATCTCCCTGACACTGATGGATGAGCTGCCTGTGCAGACTCATCTAAACAGGCTGAAAACAAGTCAGCTTTCCCAGGGAACCTTTTGTTCAGGTTTGCTGATGGACTTGGCCCAAATTTCAAAGTATTTAATCCACACCTCAGGCAGGTTTTGGAGCTGGTTGGAAGTTGGTTGCATTTACACCAGCTGCTATCTCTGTGCACATACCTGTAAGGGTGAGGGCCCTGCAGTTTGGTTCTCAGGTTTGAGATGTCACAGAACCCCCCCCCCCAAGCCCTTAAACTGCACTCCTTAGCCTGGAAAACCCACAGACAATCCCAGGAGCCCTATAGAAGTTTGCAGACCTCTCACAGAAGGGAGAGATGTGCTGTGCAGAGCAAGAGCCTGCAGAGATGCAGGGACCAGGAAGGGACCACAGATCCCTCAGTCTAGCTCTGAGCCCCCAGCACTTTTTTTTGGTTGGTTCAGTGAAGTGGAAGAAGCCTCCAGCAGTTTGGATCACTGGCTTGCTTCATATTCTGGATTGGGAAACGCCTGCTCACGCCATAGCACTGCACAACATGAAGGATGCAGTGATGAATAACACAAAAAAAGTTCCTCCACATGGAGATGATGACAAGAGTTGCTCAATACCACAGGCTGGCAGCTCTCCTGGGACTCTCCACACAGCTGGGAAAGGTGCTGCTGCCAGGATTTGTTGGTGACAGACCAGGGGCAGCAACCTTCCCCCCCCCCAGACATGCACAGGCAGGAAGGAAAGAAAGAACAAGAACAGATCTCAGTGTCCCGAACAATGAAAACAGGAAAGTCCCTCTCGGCTGGGGAACCTGGACAAGGGCTGAAACCTGAGCTCCATCCTGCTTCCAGGCAGTTTGGGGGGGTCTGCTCAGCCTCCTGTGGAGAGGGGGGTTAAAAAAAGCACTATTGCAGCTGGAGCATCCTGTGGAAGGGAGGGATAAAGGGAGGGAGGGATGGACAGAGGGATGGAGGGAGGGGGGCACCCCCCAGCCCCGGGGGTGTCAGGGGGGCTCCAAGCAGCATTTTGACTGAAATGCCACCTCTTTCTGCACCCCCCCTCCCCAGTCGTGGCATCCCTGCCCTCCATCCTCTCACCCTGCATCCCCCTGGGTACCAGTCCCTCACTGCCTCGCCCCTCCAGCCCCACATCCCGCCCTGTCTCCCAGAAAACCACTGCCAAGCTCTGCCTCAGCACATCCCACATCCCCCCCCCAGCCCATCCTCCCTCCTCCCTGGGCTGACCTGCTTATTTTCTGCGTCAGAACCATAAAATGGAGACTGCAGAGGAGGAAAACATTCCTCCTAAGATGGCTGAGGGAGGAGAAGGATTTGCATGGCAGTGCACGAGCACCCTCTGCTGTTGGATGAGCCTGGGGGGGGCAAAACAGCTCCCCAGCCCTGCTCCAGCCCCACAGGCTCCAGGCAGGAAAAGAACCCCCCACCAGTCCTTACTGGGTCATTAAAATTGTTGTAATAGCCAAAATATTTGTTTAAAAAGCTTCAGCATCCTTATCACCTCCTGAGTTCTCCTGGTTGCCTCTCCCTGCCGCCTCATTTTTACTTATATTTTCCTTGCTGTGTTACGTTCAAAATCCTTAGGAAAAGGACAGTATTTTGTATTAAAACCAGCGTATTTTACACACACAACTGCTAAAAATTAATGCCATTGCCCTGCACACTTGTAAAATTTTCCAGGTTTGACAAAAAATATTAAATTTCATTTGTATTAAGTTGCACATCAGGACGAGCATCCAAAACTTTGTGTTATTTCTTGTGGGATGGGAAAAAGGGTTGAATATAGACATGAGGGGAGAGCCAGCCCTTACCTGTGGCCAGATATTGTCCCTAGGAAAGGTTTAGGGATGAAAAGCCACGTGGGAAATCCTTTAAGCTTCTCCCTGAGTATCCAACTTTAGGGCCAGGAGTTTGTCCATGTAGGGC